AACTTTGGGAAAAATATTGTTTTCCATAACTTTTCCAGGGCCTGGAATTAGCATTTTGAATTTCCATGACTTTTCCAGGTTTTTAATGACCGTAAGAACCCTGAACAATATATATCCACAAGTTTCATCAATACCATTTTTATAAAATAATGACATGTACCTTGTTCATTGCTCTTTTTATCCGTTTTGTTTTTCTTGTCCTTTGGTTCCTCAGTTGAGGTATTCTTTATTTTGCGTTTTTTCTTAGACTCAACAGCAGTGGTTCCCGCCTCATTACAGAGGTCCTCATTCTCCTTCTCTCCCTCTTTCTCCAAATCAGGATTTTCCTTCTGCTCTTCCTCATTTTCCCCCCCCACAACACTCAGCTTCTTCCCAGCTTTCTTTCGGCCTGTAGAGGAAACAGACGATTGTTACATTGAGACACACAAAGGACCAAAAGTGAAAAATGAAGCCCAGATGATGTCTTGTAAAAAAAACAAAAAAGGTTATGAGGATATAACACCAAACCCCTATTGGAAAAAGAAAACAAGTATAATGACCCTTTTCTCTTTTCTTGCTCTCCTTTGGAGGTTTCTTCTCAGCCATTGCCTTCAGTTTCTTCCTGTTTTTGTGAACTTCCAGTATCTTTTCTAACAGTTTAGAAAAATACTCAATGTCCAGTTTGCGCCTTTCTCCTGCAAAAGTGTGGCAGTAAATATGACATTGAAATAAATGCAGGTATTGCACATTGAGAACGATAGTAATTCAATATGATATTAGTATTGTCTTACTGAATACTTACTGAAAGCTTTGTCAATCCTCCAGGAATTCTCTCGCTCTTCTTTTTTAAATTTGTTCTGAAAGTTTAAAATCAATGCAATTAACACAAACAACATTTTATAAAAGAGTAATGAGCAGTGCTTTGCTTCTATACATGATGTTTTAGAATAGCTGTTATTATCACTAACCTTTATCTCTGATCGTGCTCTCAGAGGAAACAGTTGGCAAATCATGGAAAAGTCTGTTCCCACCATACTAATTGCCAGAAAGAACATGTCTGTCTCTGTTGGAAAACAGCAAACAATCATGACATCAAGGCATTGAATAAATGTGTGCTTTAAAAAAAGAATTACCATTCTTGTTTCTTTTTCTATGATCCATATCTTCCTACCTTCGCTGGACCAGGGTTTGCAGTAGGTCCCTTTCCTGAAGCTTGAGTAAGTTGTAGTGGAGCCACGCTCAAAGATGGGGTCTCGCTCATTTGCTGGATTTGGCCCTTTGGCTCGCTGGACTTCCACGGTCAAGCTGAGACACAAGTTGAGAGGTTATGATTAAGACCACAATAGATTCCTGCATCTGCATTATCTCTATATGGATGCATTTGTTCACAATGTTGGACAGTTCCTCTCAAAGTAATGAAACTGTTGAGTCTACAATAACTGAGAGAATGCAGTAGATAGATAATGATATGTCCTGTAGAAGTCTACCAACCTCTCTTCATCAATGATCAGTGTGCCGTCCTCTGCAACTTTGACCTGAGGAACCATCACAGCATCATCATCCTCCTCCTCCTCCTCCTCTTCCTCCTCCTCATCCGCCACTGCCTCTGCCTCTGCTTCTGCCTCTGCCTCTGCTTCCTCCTCACACTGGCTTGGCAGTTTTGGGACGAACTCGGGTTCCTGCACTTTCTCTGGGACACTGCAGGGATACATCGCAAACATCAGAACCAGGGGAAATGTATGGAATGCAAACTACGGTCTAAAAATGTCCACACATCAAGTGTTTTAGTTTGATATAGAACATATCAGAATTATACAATGTGCATGTATCATTGGGTTTCTAATAAAACAAAAACACACTTTCGCATTTAATGGCTCTTACACTAATTAAACTCATTTGAGTTTAAAATATATTCTCAATTTCCACTTTTGTAAAGACCATGATGTATTTAAATGATTTTCAAGAAAACAGGACAGAAGAAGCATATCTTTTTGTAATTGTGTTGATCAAAATAAGGATGTTAAGAATGAAGGTAACACTGTATGTAGGTGTATGTGTATGATCACATGTCCAACATCATTAGAAAAAAAGGAAATACATTTGATAAAGATGATGGGTTTAACTTACTTTTGTCCTCCTGGAGAAGGTGGGACCACAGTCTCATTCTCTACAACGGACTCTTCCAAACTAGATCTGGAAAAATTGCAAAATGATGGTCACACAGGACAAGGAAGCAGAAAACAGCCTTCATGTGAAGAAAGATAAAGGATCATCAATAGAGAGGATGCATGGATGACATGTTACACAAGGTTGAGTAAAGCAGAGAAGACACTTACGTCATGGGGTTAGACTGTGGTAGATAACGGATGAGGTCCCTCATGGTCATTTTGGCAGGATCTAAATCAAATTCCTTTTCCCTTTTCTTAGATCTCTTGGTTTTCTGCAACATCAGATAATAAACCAAATCAACTTACAAGTCGAACTGTACAATAGTAATAAGTATGTAACCAACACTAAGAAAGTGAAGAAAATGAGGAGAACGATACTTACTGAATAATCTGAGTTTACCTTTTCTTTGTGCATCTCCTCTCTGAGCAGGTCTCTGAGTTTTTGGGCCTTTGCAAGCCTCTGTAAGTCTGAAGGGTCATTCAGGAGGCGACTCAGGGAGAACGCTGGTGTTGACAGTGACAGCCTACTCTTAGATGACATTAGAGTCCTGGCTTTCTCTGATATTGCAATAGCTTCTTTGTCTGGTAGAGAGAGAGGCACTTTATCCGGGAGACTGAAAGAAGCTTCATTTCCTTGACTGGCTGAAATGTTTTCAAATTCTTTGCCAGTGTTCGCCAGCAACGATTTATTTTCTGTAGAGTCCTCAGTTGTAGGTACAACTGAAGGCTCTGAAAGGATGGTGGTTGGTTTGGGTTGAATTATTTGCTGCTTGCTCTCTTCTGAAGGTCTCCGTCGCCTTGGGGACTGCAGTCTCTGAGGGGCTGATGCAGTCCCAGTTTGGCTGGACGTATTTGGCTTGTAATGGTCTGAAATAGGGGTTTCAGAGGCTGCCTTGACAGGGGTTCTTGTTTTCCGAGCAGCAATGGAGGGGCGGCCTGGGGCCACTTTAGGCTTGAAGGAAAACCGCTTCCTTCTCTGGAGGGCTGCTGAGGAGCTGGTACCTTCCACATGTTGGTCAATACCATCCCTATAAAGAAACAACAATAGTTATTGTTTGTAGATGACAAAAACATTAGGCGAGCAATGTCATTCTTATCACTCACCCTGGGACTGTAGGTGTTTCTGATGGGTTCACAGGAGGCTTGTTATCTGTAACAGCAGAAGCAGTGGAGCTCTCACCAACGTCCTTAGGGGTCTCACTGGTCTCCTGATTGGCTGAAGGGGATTCCTGAGGTGTTGATGCTGTTTTTCCTGTAGCACCAACATTGGGCCGGATACTAAATCTTGACCGACGGAACATTTTGACCTGAAAACACACAGGAAGTCAAAGCTGCATTGGTATTCCGGCAACTATTCCAAAGAGTGGAAAACATTTAGCCTTATCATGTGCTCAGTTCTTATAAGACACGTCCTCTAATATCTTATCAGCACAAGTATAACTGCTCATTTGACCACATTCAGATCACTAAATCAATACCAATAATTTTTGCAAAAATGTCTCCATGTTTTAACCTATTCAGTTTACCACTGCTGCCATATTTTACATTACATTGCATTTAGCTGACGCTTTTATCCAAAGCGACTTACAATAAGTACATTCAACCCGGAAGATACAACCTTGAAGAAAACAGAATCATATAAGGACATCAGGTTTCATAGAGCCAAACATTTCAAGTGCTACTCAACTGGCTATAGATAAGCCAGTCCTTTATTAGTATATAAGTGCTTTGTTAGTAATTCTATCGTTCGAAGTGGAGTCGAAAGAGATGAGTTTTCAGTCTGCGCCGGAAGATGTGTAAGCTTTCTGCTGTCCTGATGTCAATGGGGAGCTCATTCCACCATTTTGGAGCCAGGATAGCAAACCCACGTGTTTTTGCTGATGGGAACTTGGGTCCCCCTCGCTGTGCTGGTGCAGCGAGCTGTTTGGCCGATGCAGAGCGGAGTGCACGTGCTGGGGTGTACGGTTTAACCATGTCCTGGATGTAGGAAGGGCCAGATCCATTCGCAGCATGGTACGCAAGTACCAGTGTCTTGAAGTAGATTCTAGCAGTTACTGGAAGCCAGTGAAGGGAGCGGAGGAGCGGCGTTGTGTGGGTGAATTTTGGAAGGTTGAAGACCAGACGAGCCGCTGCATTCTGGATGAGCTGCAGAGGTCGGATGGCACATGCAGGTAGACCAGCCAGGAGGGAGTTGCAGTAGTCTAGGCGTGAGATGACGAGAGCCTGGACCAGAACCTGCGCTGATTTCTGGGTCAGCTCAAACGCATGTAAGAAGTAATAGTAGTTTGTTTTAATAACAACTTTTCTGAAAGATTACATTTAACTTTCACGGGATTTACACTACATAATAAAACACACTTTGTGGTAATACAGAATCACAATTATAATGTTACCTTGTATAAGATGTACTGTTGTATAGACGTGTCTAATAGACCAAAAAATCTCATTTAGGAAAAGCGCATTCAGCCAGGCTGTCTTTTCATTCCACGCATCCCATCAATGGAATTCAATACCACAACCAATAAGAGAATCCTCATCCTACTACACATTCAAGCACACTATTAAAAAGTGGCTCATTGAAAACCAACAGTGTCAGCACTGATGTGTGGGTGTAGGTGTGTGTATGAGTGTGTATTGTACATTTTTAATTTATTTATTTATTTATTATCATGACTTGCTCTTATCTGTATTCAGTGATGTCATCTATTGTAAATATGTACAATGGTATAACAATGTTGTGGTATTTTTATTATTGCTTTTAGGATGTCTATCACCATTTGGCAAAGGGACTATCGATGAAAACTAGCCTTTTGGCTAATTCGAATACTTTTACATGTTTGTAATATGCTGATTAATGTACACTGTCCCTTGTTTTAAAAAAAAAAAATTAAAAATGTAAAAAGAAAATAAATCCTCATTGAAATACTGACTTATGCATGCAATATACACTTTCTTTCCCAGGGGCCATTTGTATTATTCTAAGAAATTATGACTACGGACTATTGTTTTGATGAGGATTAGCTTGCATTTATTTAAGCATGACTACATAGTGTGACAAAGTACTGTTACCTTATGTTAGCAGGAGCAATAGCGAGAATACATGCAGCTTTCTGCAAGCCTCAGCTATTCTATCAGCGGCAGGACTAGTGACGTTGACAGTTTGTAAAGATAATCACAAGGAAATACGCCCCAGCAGTTTGAATACGTTAACACAACCTAAACTCAGTCAAGAAGTATTACGAGACAATCATGCGAAAACAATGCGAAAAGTGCACGAAGCTGGACTAAAACTCGCTTGACAACACTTTTAGTAAGCGGGTCCTCCTCACTTGGACCGTCGTATTCTTCATATTTTAAAGCTGAGGCAGTTACATTTATATTGAGTTACGTCAAAATAATTAAATCACCTTGAAATAACTTACCCGTTCAAAAATATCTCATTTGCTGGGAGAAATAGGCTTACATTTATCGAAGACAGCTACCTGGTAGCGGACCCCATGCACAAACTAATCCGCCATGTTTTTCATGACGTGATACTTTCGTGAGGGAAGGGGGTTGTGGTAAATGTAGTCAGCTCGCTGCAAAACGACTGGCTGAGGCAAGAGAGTGAGGTTGTTTTGCAAGGATTTTCTTAAAGACTCTGAGCAGCAATGTTATGAAACTCTTTGAAGGCTTTGAAAACATTATCTGTAATATCATGCTCAGTATATAATAAGTCATTACAATATTTTTTAAGCAAAAGCAACAATGTACCAATCCAAAAATAACCCTAACAAATCACGTGTTTTTTGCTTGAGAAGTGCAGAAGAATTAACAATCAAATGCATAGCCGTGGGAACATGTTTCAAATGGGGGGTGCTGTGGGGATCACATCCTCTAGGGGGGTCAGGGGGGAAGATTTTTTTTCAACATTATAAAGTAAAATGCTTCAATCTGGTGCACTTTGAGCTGAATTGCCAGAGACTAGATCTAAGGGGTACAACTCTAAACACCCATATCGAAAAGATCGGTTTACATTTTAATAATCAAATAAGTATGTGGACATAACCAATAACCTAACATAGCCAATAACAAGTAAATGTAACTTATTTTATTTTTGTTGTTCATTTATTTCTTATTTTACCAGTTAACATTTATTTATTTATGCATATTCTTTAATCTCTCCAGATTTAAACAATATTTCTGGTTTACTGTCCTATAGTATGCACTGGAATGATTTCAAACCTGTTTTTATTTATCCCAATAATTATAAAGGTTGCCTTGGAAATATTTGTTTACATAAATTGTTAACAAACCGTTTGAGACCCTCTGAGATAACTTAGACTAAAGTGAACTATCTAAACACTCAGTCCTTTACCTCACTGAGCCTCTCAGTCTGTCTGGCTATCAGTCCTGTCCAGACAGCTGATATCTGTCCTGTGTGTGAGCTGCGGGCGCCTGATAAGCAAACATCCCCCACTTTCATCGTACAGGGCAAATGGAAACTGTAACCGGGGTGAAAAGGGTGTTATCTTTACTTAATTATGAATGTTGTTACATCAGGGCTGAAAATTCGTTTTTTTGTATTATATTTCCATTTAATCTTGTGGACGTGCAGATTCCCTGTCCTCCATCTGGGGGTGCTGCAGCACCCTCAGCACCCCTACTTCCCACGGCCCTGATCAAATGTAGCTACATTTCAAATTAGGAGGTTGCTAATTATGATAAATATATATGTAAGCAGCTTTTGGTGTTGGTTATTTTACACACAACTTATATTTCATATTTGAGCCTACCACTGGAGAGATCATTGATTGTGTTTTTTTTCTTATAGTTTTCCATTTTATTCTAACTTAATTTACATTTAGTTAAAATGTCAGAAAGATACTTTCTAGATATAGGCCTAATGTGTTCTTAAAAAAAAATACATTCCCTTTTTTTGTAGTACTTTAACACAATTTAGATTGCATAGCTTTAATAAATAGCATTTCCAAATGGGTTGTTTTTTTACAACCTGAATTTTTCTTGTTTCAATGTATACAACCCATAAGGCGGCTATTTAACATATGCTTGTATATATCCATATTTATTTTGTTTAATAATATGGAACTTCAGTGATCGACAAAGCCTATGATCTAAGTCTGTTGAACCTTAAGTGGTTTCCAACATTACTTCACTAACTCAGTCTGAAAAAGTCAATGAACAACTCATTATTGAATTATTTTTTATTTATTTTTAATACAGACAGCATCAGCAGTGAAACTCTTTGGACGTGCTTTTTTTTCATACAATACATTTCTATCTTCAGCAGATCAGGACAAAACATTTATATTTTTCAATCAGTGGTCTTTACACATAAGGGGAACTACTGATTGGATAGTAAAAACAACACCATCAGAGGTCGAGGTGTAAAGGAAGGGTGGGCTCGGGACAAGAGTTAGAAACGCTCATCATTTGGATTGTCTTGCGCACGTTGTAGCAGCTTGTCCCAAATATTTTATTTGACGTGAAGATCTCCACTAGCTCCATTTTAACTGTAAGGGCAGAGAGAAGAAAAAACTGTGAAGATAATATTTATCCCCTTTAGATTAAATACATTTTGTAATAATCAAACATAAATGCAAACTTACTTATAGACAAAGTTATGGTCAAGCAAAGGGATTTCCAAAAGGATCCCCAAAATCTGCTGTTGATCCAGAGTTCAGCACAACAGCCTGCTGTCAAATAGAGAACAGGAATTAAAATTAATTACTGAGAATCTAGAAAAGTGTGTGTATGCGTCTGTGTAAAACTCTGTACCATGGCTACAGGCGGCCCTCCAAAGAGACTCGAATCGGGGGCCCCAAATGCTTGATCAAACATGTCATGTTTGGGTCCCTGGGCTGGGGCTGAATTATTTGCAATGGGAGCAGAAGAGAAGGCGGCATCTAGCAGGCCGGGGTTAAAGCTTGGAGCTGCAGCTGGCACAGGAGCTGGTTTAGAAACATCTAACAACAGACACATTACAAGGACACTATTAGTGACAGATCTCACACATAGTCAACTTCCAAAATGTTAGGTGATTTACCATTTACAACGGCGGACATTTGATTGATATCAAAGTCATCATGATCAGCATTATCCTGCGGCAGGCCCACTTTATTGTTAAAGTACTGATCGAATGCCCCGGCTTCGTTGCTGCCTGGGGGGGGAGCAGCGTTTGACACTAGGTCTCCTTTCCTCGCTGGGATGGCAGGGGGCTTGGCGATCTGGAAGTCCTTGAACATGTCCTTTCCACTCTTCTTCTCTCTATCTCCAAGAGGGTCCAGAGATGTGAAGGCACTGTTCTCTACCTTTGGAGGGGCTTCCTTAACAGGTGGCCTAGGAGGGGGGCGTGCCGGACCCTGCTGGTCACCCATTCCGGGGAACTGGCCAGGCTGGAAAGGATTGGTCATGGCGGGCTGACCCCAACCTGGAGCACCTGGTGGAGGCTGGCCCCAGCTGAGGTGAGGCGGGGATAAGGGTGCAGCGCTGAACTGAGGGGGCATCTGCTGGCCCCAGGCTGTGGGAGGAATGGGTAGGCCACCGAAGGCAGAGGGCTGTGGATAGTTAGGCCTCTGGCCTGGAGCTCCTGGCATGGGGAACATGGACGGTGCAGCGGCGGGGGCCCCCCACATGCCTGCAGCAGGGACGCTTGTGATAGCTGGAGGACCTAACTGAAGATTCCCTGGATATAAAGAAAAAGGGATTTCAAAGTTTAAAAGGGAAGGAAGTGTAAAGCCTAAAAAAATACCGTATATCTGAATCAAACACAATGTTTCCCTCTTGTTTATTACCCAGAGCAGCTATGGAGGAGGGGTAGGAGTTGGCGGGCGTGCTGTTGAAATAGTCCCCTGAGGAGGGGGGTGCTTCAGCTTGAGCAGCAAATAGCTCTGCTCCAAACAGATCGCCTGCTGCGGACTATTCAAGACAGTTATAAAATAGTATTATATACTTTATACATTGTAAAAGTTTCATTTCACCTCGTGACACAGTTGTAGATATGATAACTCATAAGATAAACAGTATAGTAGAAATTAGGTTTAAACAAAAGTTTACTGCAATTATGTAGTCGAAAGTACTACATTACCTGAACATTGATACGACACATGCTTTGCCACTTACCACTGCGTTTATCGCTGATGCATGAAGGTTAGAAAATAGATTTAGAGCAGAAATGACAAAAGGTAAAGTGGATTGTTCAGCAGCACAGTCAAAGTGTCATTTATGCAAGACAGTTAGAGAAGCATGTGACCACCAGTGCATGCACGAAGACAGAGTGGATCCAACCAGGAACCCTTAACCTTATCCAAACGAAAGCATCCTGTCATATCCTGTCAGACACCAGTGCATAACCCAAGAAAGGGATGTGTTAGCAACCTGTGCATTCAGCCCATTTAAGGCATCACACATGCAAATCTAGCATGATTCATCTAGCTATGGAATTTCACCTTTGCACTCCTTCGACCTCGTCCAGCCTTAGAGCTCTGCGGAGGCGGACTTATGAAAACTGAATCCTTGCTATGAGCCAATGGGGGTTGTGGGGGAGGAGTTATGTCATTAGAGACAGGGGAAGTGTTTAATGATGATTCAAAAAAAGGGTTTTTAGTTGAGAGAACTGTTCCAGATTCATCCATCATGGTGATTGTGTTGCTCTGAGTTATTTTGCCCCCTAGTGGCCACTGTCCGTTACTGAGAGCGAGGATCATGGTTTTACTGGATAACCCATTTATCTGCTGACTGAGGTGTTTGGGGTCTCCATTCAAACCACTGTTAACAATTGTTGTGCAAGTGTTGCCAGCAGTGCCGTTTAGGTGATTACTGGTGGGGGGGGAGATCTGTGAGTTATGGGGTTCTGACCAAGGGGGTGATAGCGGGTCATCTCTGAAAGGGTCACTGTCTGGGGTTGGAAAGTAGCCAAATCTTGATGAAAAGGGATTCTCTGTTTGGGGAGATGCCCTATGGTCAGGGGCAAAGGAAGTTACAAAGGACGGTCCCTTTATGCAATTCTGATTGCTGTCAACTTCAGCAGAAAAGTCCAGCAAGAGCATATCATTAGATTCCTGGTTAACATGAGAGGGGCAGAAAAAAAGAGAATTATGAATCAGTTCTGCAGAAGGAGAAAAACACATGTGTTAACAAAATGAAAAATGAATCACATGGTGTGAAAAGACAATTTAAAGCTGCTACCTGTAGAATATTTACCTCAAAATGAAAAAATTTCACAGTAAAGCAAAGTCCAATTGAAAAAATTGACTAATTGCTAACTTGCCTTTGTCATCAGCAAGGTTGAAGTCAGCACTAACTCCATGATCTGAAACTGGGCTTGTGAATTTTCCCAGAAGTATTACCCTTAGAAGACTCCAGGTGACACAAACATGTCTTACAAATAGATTCTACTTGTAGCAGCTTTAGAGGTTTGATGAACAACAATGAGATTGGTACAAGAAGTTAAACTCAATTCTTAAAAGATCATGAACTGTCAAATCTGATACAACTAATGATTAAACAAAAGTGAGAT